TATTTATGGTTCTTACGGTTGCTTTCTGCTATATTAAGCTATTTTAGCCTTTAGCTTTTTTATGCTATTTCAGCTATATTTTGGCTCTTTTTTACTGTTTTTCTGCCCTTTTTTTTTTTTTGCTTCTTTCAGCTTTTCAAATTTAACTTACAATAATACCTTTGCTATTAAACATGTTCAGCTTAATTTCAGCTCATTTTCAGCAGCTTTCAGCTCAGGTTTTCAGCAACAGGCTGCAACTAGCATTTTCACAGGAAATGCAATTTCTCTAGTTGTTGGCATTTTAGCAGATGGACTTTGTGCTGCATTCAGCAGGTAACAGATGTTACATGTTCTCAATTTTGGAGTAGTTGTTCTGACCTATTTATGTTTATAATTATAGAGTTTGTGTGTAACATACACGGTTAATTAGTAAAATAATGTTAATGGTTATTAAAACGACTGGTTGTTTTTCAGCACAGAGTATTCAAATTATTTTACTAGTGAGAAGGTTGTTTTTTCCGATGCAACTTGAACGTTGCGCTAGTTGGGCAGGACGGGGAGCGGCTTGACAAAAAAGGATAAAAATAAATAAGCGCGCTTTCTGCCGCACTGGCAAACATGTACATATATTATCAGTTCTGTTTGTTATGAAATCGGATCGATAAGTATGACATCATAATCTCCTGATATCGGGCCGATAACTATTGGGCCGATAGTTATCGTGCAGCCCTAATGATAGTGGAGGCAAAAACAAATAAAACCTAACCAGATTACTTTATGACTTTATTTTAATACAGTTAAATGTCATTACAATTACGCACTTGTGTTTCAAGTTTAGAGGCATATTTGTGTTGTTCTTTCTCTTCAGCATCCTTTCATCAAATCAGCCAAGCCTAATTCTGTCCTAAGAGCCTTGATCCAAGACGCCCTGGAGATAAAACTGAAGAGACAAGAGGAGGCAGAACAAAGAGAACAAGACGCTGAAGACGATGACAATTCGGTGCGGACTTTAAGTATTTTACAGCTAATAGAGAGTTGAGTGTTTTTAATATTTTATATTTGAGAATCACTGGTTTAAATAAAAACAATTCATCTCTAAACTACATCCAACAATCAAACCTTTCCAGAATAAAAGTGTAATTCTCTGATTTAAGAGCTGTAGCGTGTGTTTAATGCCACGTCGCTGTCTGTGTTTCAGGATGAGGATGAGGTGGACCAGGGGACGATGGTCCGAGCTGGAACAGGCGACTCCGGAACCATCCGGTCCGCCGGCTCGTTAACGAGTTCGATGAGCGGTACGATGATCGAACACGAGGACACGGGAACCATGCAGTCGCAGCTCGGTACCATGGTCATAAACTCCGATGACGAGGATGAGGAAGAAGCTGGTACCATGAAAAGTAAGTTCCTCTGTGCACAACCGCATTCAGCAGAGATTTTTGACTTCTGCAGATTATTACACTTAAAACAGAAAAGAGATCTAKAGTGTGGGAGCGTCTGCTCCTGGTTCTCATGATTTGAAAGGAAAAGCTGTTAAGAAGTTTTAGTTGACATGATGCATTTTTCTTTTATACGTTTTTCTGCACGTATCTCGTTCAACTAGTTTTGTGCTATTTCAACAATTCGTACATATATCAAAACATTCAGCTACTTTAAGACATTCCTGCCATGGCTTTTAGTACTTCAGCAATATATACTTTTTGAGATTTTAGCTGTTTAGGTCAATTCTATTGTTACAGAAAATGAATGGAGCTGTCCTTAAAACCTTTCAAATTAAACTTTTTTAATGCTCTTGTTTTCTGATTCTGCCTTTTTTTTTTACTTATTTGAGTTGATCTCAGATTTCTTCAGCTTCTTTTTAGCTTATTTTAGCTTTTTTTAGCATTTTCAGCTATTCTGCTAATTTAAGCTTTTTAAGCTTCTTTCAGTCGTTTTATGCTATTGAAGCTACTTTTTAGTTGTTTTCAGCTAATTTTTGCTTTTTTTATTTATAGCTAAATTAACCTTTTTGTGYTAATTTTAGCTACTTTCAGTTGCTTCATTCAGAAAACATGGACTCTGTGTTTTGTGTTAAATCAAGCTTTTTTTAGCTACTTTTTAGTTATTTTCAGCTAATTTTAGCTTTGTTTATAGCTAAATTCATGTTTTGTAATAATTTCAGCCACTTCTTTCAGTTGCTTCAGTCAGAAAACTTGCACTCTTTTTGCTTTGCATCAAATCAAGCTTTGTCAGCTGCTTTTTTATAGGAATTTAAGCTTTTTTAGCTATTTTGCAAGAAACTGCAAACTGAATTGTACATATTCTTTTTTTTCTGTAAAAATCTTTCAACATTAAGCAATCAAATGCTCTAATTTATAAACTGTTTGAGCTGCTCTGACTGGTTCACTGGTTTGGTTCGCAGGTTCTGCATCAGTTCGTTTTTCCAGCAGGGGGCGCAACCTGGTCATGAACCGAATTAATGAATAACTAGATGATTATTTCTGTCTGTTTGGACTTGCTAACCTCAGACAGGAAATTGACTTAATAAAGGGGTGTGCAGTAACCGTTTCTAATAACTAGTTCTGCTGTCTGGTTTTAATCACAGAGGGAGAGTTGTCAGGATTTTAAATGCAGATATTTTAAATCKCAGTTCTCAGCACAGTTTCTCTTCTGTTGTTTTTGTTATCATCTTGCATGCTGTGAATGACTAAAGATGCACTCAGAAACTCACAATCAAACACATGAAATGGTGGTTGTGGAGAGAGAAGAGGCAGGTGTAACATAAACAGCATCATCACACGGACTCACAGGTGTTGTATTGAATATATTARCTTCTAGTTTGTCGTTTATTGAGCGAAACGTTCGAACTGAATCAATCTGTTGGAGTCGGCAGTGTGGGAGTTGGAAGCCTTAGCTCTGATGATGCTTCTGGAAAAGAGTCTCAATAAAAGTTGGATTCAGTTCTTCTCTACTGGCACTCTGTGGGTGGATTTTTTTCTTTTTTTATAAGCATAAAATTAACCCTAATGAGATTACGTTATGTGAGTGTGTGTAAATTAGGTTTAGCTTTATGGGACTCGAGCGATGCAGGCTCATGAGGGTCTGGAAAACTCCCCGATGAGTAGAAAGTTATTGTGGAAGAAGTTTATGATGTAATATCACCACTCCTACACTGCGTTTAATACGGCCAGAGGAGCTTTGTAGCATTTCAGGAACCAGAGGAGTTGAGTTTTTCTCCTGAATGAGCTGCAGAGAAACCGATGGATTAAACAGGCAACTGTTTAAACAGACAGACGCTCATCTTCACTTAATGCAGACATGAGAACTCGATACACGCTACTGATCCAAGCATTCAGTCGTTTGGTTTTATCTTACAAATCTTTGACAAGCATTCATAAATGCACACATTCATGCTGTTTCCTTGATCTGAACTTTTATGATGAAATTAGAATAGATCCCTCGAGCCGCCAGTTTGAAGAGTTTTAACTTGGGAACCTTTAGAGAGCATAATTATATTAGAACCCTGACATCTTGCAGTTGTATGTCTGGTACCTTTGGGTTTTAATGCCTGCCTGGTACCAAGATTGTTGTATTATGTGTGTGTGTGTGTCTGCCTACCAAACTAATGATGATGCTGCAGGCGCCCCGAGGATTAAGATAGGATATTAGATCAGACATCGATCCTCTTTAATGGTACTAAAAAATAAAAAGCCCTTTAATTTGCACTGATCAGACATTAACCTGCACTCACTCTGTTCCATATGAAAACATTTCGTCTCTCGTCGTTCTCTGCTCTGCTGCAATTTATTGTCCACCTAAAAAGTCTGACCGCTGCCACAGACAGAGCTGGTTTTTAACTGTGATGGCAGAAACGCTCAGAGATGGTTTTGTTAAAYACGATGAGCGTCCAAAACTACCAAATAAACAGGACATCAAATGTTTATAAAACTCACCTTATTTCTTTTTTTTCACTGGCCTTATGTTCTGTGTACAGTCATGAGGCTAAAATTCCTCCAAGATGGCGCAGGAGTGACTGTCTTTAAGCAACAGCTGTTGAGAGGGTGTGAGGAGGCATAAGTTGATGAAAAGGTTGCATGGATAAATCCACCTCCAAAACAAAACACAAACAACAAAGACATTGTGACAATCAACACTGAGTCATTTTGGGACTTTGACAGAAGTTACTTCTTATATATTTTATTATAATTTTTTTGAGTCATTCAAACCAGCTACAATAATATTCTCTAAACCTCTAATGCTTGAAAGTGAATAAAAGCTGTTTCAGTGCCCGTGTAATGCAAACACTGCTTAGAAACTTAACTCAAACTGCATAGTTCGTACTGCTGAGAAAATCACTTTGGGTTCATATTTAAAGCCTGAAATACATTTTGTGCTGCTAATGTCTTATAGCTCTTTATTTTATTAAAGTTAAATATTTTTGGAAGAGGCAGAAGCTCTAGTTTAAACTTTAAAACTTGTTTTCTGTAATCTTTGCACTCATATTTTTTCGGCAAATATTTCTGTTGCATTTGTTTCTACCAGTTATATTCAAACAAGTATTGAGTTAAATCAAATAGAAGAAGTGAAACAATTTTTGTTCACTTTTTTAATCATTTGTTTCCAATTTTTGTTTTGTACTCTGTTTTTGACACCGGCTAATTTGTTTAGTTCATTACACGGGATGCAATTAGGAGGGATGTGTCTGCTCAAAGCTTGTATAATAGATGCTTTTAAAAATTCAAACTAAACCTTAAAATTTAGATTTTTGTCCTGGATATGGACAAACAGATTTATGAGCAGATTGTTTCCTTTTCTGTAATCTCTAAGGCTGCAGTATTAAAGAGGAAAATCAAACGGCTTGTTGTTAGCTTTTATTTATTAGAAGAATCTGGTTTGTGAAAATTATACTACTTTAAAGTCTAAAGCAGTGATTCCCAACCAGCAACACGTCAGAATATTACAGGGGGTACGTGGAAAAATTTCCCAGGTGTGTAAAAAATAAATAAATAAAAATAGGACTGGGATATGTAAGGTCCTATGATTTCCACAATCCAGAAAATGCAAACGGAATCACAAAATTGACACAAAATGGAATCCTGTGTAAAACGTGGAATCTCATGGAATTTGCTCATTTGGGRTGTTTGATGTATTTTGGACGCTGCTGTTTTCTGCACCTGGTTTATTTATTTAATTACTTATTCACTTTCAAGGCAAAATATTTATCTTTATTTAATTTGAGTTTAAAAGAATAAATGCCTGAGAATTAAACAATCTAGGGGTTAAATAAATAATTTTCATTTAATAATCAGCTGTTATAGTTTTGTAGACTCATTATGTTTGACTGAAGGGGAACTAGTGGTATGATAAAATGGGTCAGGGGTACCTAAGACTAATAAGGTTGGAACCACTGATCTAAAGTAGAAAGAATCTTTCATTTTGCTCACAAATGAGAAAAAACTGTGGGAAAACGTTTATATTAGGGCTGTGTATTGGCAAGAATTTGGCGATACGATACATATCATAACAAGGGGTCACGATACGATATATCCCGATATTTGCGATACTGTAAGCAAGGCGATATATTGCGATTTATTTGGTCCAAAAACTCTGTTAAATAAAAACCTCTTACTGGGGGAAAAAATGAAAAACCAAAATTCATTGTCTCAGAAAATTCTAATATTACATAAACATACTTTTGATACATTTAGCTGTGTTCTGCTTTGTATGTATTTTATTTTATTTGTTTCATATTTCTTATTTCATCCATGTTTTCAATTATCAGACTAAATTTGCTAATAAATAGATTTAAAATATATATTTTTGCAGCTTTTAGTTTTTAATATTAATTTACAATATGGTCACCCAACCCTTAACAATAGCCTCTACCTCAAGAGGTAGAGTAGCCAAATGGTTGGCTCACTGCTGCCAACTAGCGGTCAGAGGCTGAACTACAACATAAAAATGAACGGCTGGCAGGAAAGCTGACATTATGAACCATAATAAAAAATCGATACGGGGCTTTAGAATATCGATACAGTATCAGGAAATGGAATATCGCGATATTTCAATGTATCGATATTTTCTTACACCCCTAGTTTATATTTTCCTGCCTGCATTTCCCCCAATCATCTTTTTGCAGACGTGTTGTGGAATTCATCACTGTAGCAAAAACTCTGAACAGAAACTAGATTAGAAACAATACTCGCTTGTAAAAGTTTAAAAACAAGCGACACGTTCAGACTGGTTTGCCTCCGCAGAGTTGGCATAGCAACTAACAAAGCAGAGCAGGTCAGATTTGACTGGGATGTAAAGCACAGTGACCAGTCAGATAATTGCTCAAGTTACCAAACAACACTATATATCAAGGTACAAATAGAGACAGAGATTAGATTTTTATGTGTTTAACCTTCTGTCATCTGATTAAACCTGGGTGGGAGGAGAAATTATGACCTTTTCTACATCATTGTCTGAGAACACTCATAACTCTTTTTAAAAACCCACTGATCAAAATTATACTCAGAAAGGCAGCTGTAGATGTTTGCATTAACCTTTCCAAACAAGAAGAATAAACAGGATATGAATCACATAACAAAAACTGACATTTGACAGATTTAGTGCCGTGTTACTTAGAAATATATTGTGTAATTCTAAAAGTAGCAAAAAGGAATTTTATTAACTCGTAATAAAACCACCAGCCAACTTCTTTATTGTGCAACATCATGGGTCATGATCTACATAAGTCTTCAGTCATTAACTGTAGCATCTGAGCTATCAGTGTGTTTTTTTACTCATAAATCTGTTTTAATACGCTCATAAAGCAGCTCAGATTTTTTCTTTTGGTGTCGCATAAAATCCACAGGGATCATATGAAACAAAAAGGCCCGAGAACAACAGTACTGTAACTTTAATACAAACAGAAACTAGAGAAACTGTATTTTCTGCAAATACGCATTATGAATGCTTATTTCTGAAAGATATTTTTTCTTTTTGCTAAAAAAGCTGAAGTCAAAGTGAAAAGGTTCAGAAGCAAAACTGTTAATGTGAGTTAAATTTAAACATCTGACTTCTTCTGAATGTAACAAAATAAAAGTGAAAAATAAATAGTAAAAACAGCTGAGCGGCGCAGCTAAAATTAGCAGAAAATAATCAATATTAGCAAAAAGTTGAAGCTACTGGAAATAATTTGAGAGAACCAAAAAAAGTTGAATTTATGAATAAAATAAACAGAATAAAGC